GCGGAGGGGGGAGGGGGGGGGGGGGGAGTTCAGACACAAAGGATTTCCCGGAAAGGAGAAGGCTAACTGAGGGGTTGGGTTTTTGGAAAAGCGAGAGGGGGTAATTGTGGGGTCCTTTATGGAAAGCCCTCCGGAGAGAAAACCAAACTAGCCCAAGGTGAAAAGCCAGCCCGCACCTCTCTCCCTCTGCCCTGGGCGCAGGTTTTCCCGGCTCTCTTTGTCTTTTTCCTAGGGCCGCCTCGGAGAGTTATGATGACACCCACAGCCAAGAAGCTGCACAACGTCTCGGGACCACCCCACCCCAGCCAGAACTCCGAATCCTCCGGGGGCAGCTCCCCCCCCCCCTCCGCGTTCCCCGAACCGCGCTGCGGCTGAAAAGATTCTTTCCGGCGGGCAAAGTTTGCCTGCGCCCCGTCCAGCCCAGCCCTGGACATGTTCCACGGCACAATGTCCAGTCTTGAAAAGGTCAAGGGGTTCGAGAGGTCACTCCCGGGCTATAATACTGAGCTAATCGGTCAGAAAACGTGTCCTCTGAGTGAACCCGAATGCGCGCTCCTTGCTGGGCAGCTCAGAATTTCGCCTCAATTTATTTGTTTATTTTGCCTTTCAGCCTCCCCAGAAAGAAGGGGGGGAAATGCAGAAAGTCTCGAAACCAGCAGCAGACCCGCACGAATCCCCCAAACACGCTCTAGAAAGGCCCAACCCTTCCACAAAACAGCTAGTTGCTCCAGAAGCCAGATCCCCCAAGTCTGACTGCCCTGGCACTGCTCAAAGGAACACCTCTGACACACACGCTGACAGCAAAAAAAGAAACAATCCACCAGGCGGATCGGTCCCTACTCTCACGTGACTTTTGTACAAAGCCCTTTAATTTCGGCTTCACAGCGTCGGTGAGGCAAAATAGAATATACTTTGAAAGAGCGAGGCTGCTTTTGGTCACAAAAAGGTTAATTTCTTAGCTCCCCGCTTTTCCTCTGTGTTACATCAGATAAAAGAATGGTTCTTGCAAAGCCAGGCCGCGAGGGAGTCACACCATAAAATGCAAAAATCAAGGGGTTTTAGCCTTCCCCTTTATATGTAATCCGCTTGGTATCTTTCTTTTCTCCCTCCCTCTCAGCCAACATAAAACGAAGAACCCGAAGAAAATCCCGTAAAGGATTCAAGTGTCCCCCCCCCCAAACTTTCTCTTGAAAAGAAGGCAATAAAACGATCCAAAATGCATGCCAAACAGTCGGTTCTTTTACCTTGTGCATTCCCACATCCTTTCTTCAACGCCCCATAGACGGTATTCATGGTTTGGGTGGATTCTTCCCAAGCGGGGGAGTTGTTGTTTGTTCCGTTTTGTTTTCCAAAAAAAAGAAAAAAGTTTTCAACTTTATGATCCAGATTTTTTTATTGTTATTATTCCCCGTGAAGATTTTTGTAGGACTCCGGGTACTTTTTTCCCAACAGACGGTCTGCGGAGATTTGCTGTTGAATAACAATGGGCAAAGGATAAGTATTTAAAGAAAAGAAGTGATTAATGATTTTCTGTATAATTCTCGCATTTTTCTTGGCTTCTGTCTCCTTATAATGGCTGTGAACTTTTAGGTCCTATAGAAGTCTTCTTTTCTCCCCCCTTCAATTCTATTCATACTTTCCAGCTTTGAATTTGTTCTATAGAAGTTGCATTCCTATCAACATATGCTTTTTAAGACCCGTTTTGGTACCCTTAAAAGCATAGCCTCCATTTGAAAATTACATCGCCTCTACATAGCATGCAGATCAAAGGGGGGGAGAAACAGCCATCAAAATAAATACAGTCCTCACCACCCCTCATCGAAATAAAAACTCTGAAGGTTTCCTCTTTTTGCCTTTAAAAGGGCAAAAGTTAATCAAACACATACACAACTCCATTTTTCCAGGACAAGACGTGTAGCGGCTCGGTATCACATGACCATATAAATATTTCTTACAAACTGTTAAAAAGTCAATAGGATAAAAGACATTACGGACGATTTATGGAGACAGGAACAACTTTTGAACACAGTTGAAGCGTGGGGTCGGAGTTAAAATGCTTAGGACCTTCAGCACCGAAATGGCCACTTTAAATATTCTAAGCCAGGTCTTTGTTCTATTTTGTTCTTTGTGGGGTGTTTTAATCATTACTGAGAGCCTAAGAGAAATTCATAAATTCTCACAAATATACAAAACCCATTTTCTCATAGGGAATGCATCTAAAAACTATGATTTTCTTTCTATGATCTAGAGGCCTCCTGTCCGTCCCCCCCCCCCCCTTTTTAATGGTAACTTAGAACTGGAATGTTATTTCGCCCCGAAAAGTATTTTCGATACTTTCTATGAGCAAGAAAATGAAAATTAATACAAGAGCTGTGACTCACAAAAGAAGCCATTTGTCTTCTTGATTATCTATTTGCTTGTCAGAGTTTGAGCTATTGCAGAGCCAGCTCCTTTGTAATATAAAAATACACAGAAAACCTGCGAACACCGAGAAACATCTGTGCAAAAATTACACTCATTACTGTATTAAGTACCTTGCAGAAGGAGATTTTTAAAAAGGAGGAAGCAGTTCCTGAGAAATACATTGCTGCTTTCGTTCTTTAATACACAGTGGAGCTTTAATGACCCACACAGTTAAAACCAGTTTGTGAACACACCACACACCAGACATTTTCATATGTGCTTAGAATAAATAAATCATAATATGTAAGGCTTCGCTGTACTTAAGGCTGAGCTATCCTAGAGTCAAACATGTTCTGTTTTCATGAGCGAGGGGGTCACTGACAGAAATCACCATCAAATAACACACGTGCTTTTTTGTTGTTGTTGTTTACAAAAAAAAATCTATTTTGAACACACACCGTTTATAGTCGCCACGAACATTTTATTTCCATTTGCTTTTGTTCTGCTATGTACAAAGTGAGCATGAATAGCACAAAGAACAATGGGAGGTAATTCCACTGGACGAAGGGGGGGGGGACGAAGATTCCAAAAGTTCTTTGAAATCACATCAGCTCGGAATGTCAAGTACTATAGAACACGAAAAGAAAATATATAGATATATATAAATTTGTACGAATTTCATATGCCCTTTTGCATCTAAGAGAGAAGGAGATTCCTACCTTGCCTTTTTGATTCACAGTCTGAGGACAAAAATGGATTGAGTCTTATTGGAGAAGCATTTTTTTTTAACAAAGAGCCCTCTCTTTCACCCACTCCCTTTGATGAACATTTACATTCAGGTAGCATTATTTGATCATCAAGTTTCTAAACTAAATACGTCCCCCTCTCTCGCCCCACATTTACAAGTGAGGTAATTAACCCGCTGGACTAAAAAATGGCAGGGGGTTTCTTACATCAGCCTCCCTGATGTTGGTCCCCTTCCCCACTCCCACCTCCCAAATGTCACTCGGTTGGTTTAAAATTGTGCCAGTCCCTTCTCTCTCCTGCTCAGGACCATGTGCAACACCTTTTCCTTCTCCTCGGTCCTCACGCTAGAGCAGCGGTGGACGCCGGCTTGTTTGTTTGTTTTTGGTCTGTAGGGCTGCCCTGCAGCGCCAGAGCTGCTGTGCCCTTGGAGAGCTGAATAGAAACTTTCGCTTTGTGGCTGGGAGGCAGCAAAAAAAAAAAAAAAAATCAGTTCGTCTTGAAGACACTGCGCCTCATTTATTAAAGCGAGCACAGGTTGTCGAGGTAATCGCCAGCATAAGGGCCATCCTTTGTACGGGGTAGTAAACATGACACATTGGGGCAGCGTTTTGGCGTGATTCAAGATGAAACAAGGATTTTAGCCAAATTTGAACACGGCTATTTCCACCGCATGTCTCTGGCTTCCGTTTGTTTTGCAGCTGAGTCCCCCCTCCTGTTCTATAAATAAAAAGGATGCCCCCTTTTGCACCATATAAAAAGTAGCTTGTGTCTCCTACACACATACACACAAACGCACAGACACACACACACACACACACCACAGTTATAGGCCGGTAGTTGGTACATGGGCTCGGTTCTGAGAGCCCCCTGGTATCTGCAGACTTCCAGCAGAGTTGGCTGCATTAGACCTGATCTTGGTATTTGGTAATTTATGGTCTTTTTTCCATTTCATCCTCCTGTTCTGGAACCAGATTTTGATCTGGCGCTCGGACAGGCATAGAGCGTGGGCGATCTCCACGCGGCGCCTCCGCGTGAGGTAGCGATTGTAGTGAAATTCTTTCTCCAGTTCCAGGACTTGCTGCCTGGTATAAGCTGTCCGGGAGCGTTTCGGTTCCCCACCTGCGCAACTGGAGTTTACTGAGCAAACACAAAGGGGAGGGGGTGGGAGAGAAGAGAGGGGAGAAAGAATTACTTTTTTTTAAGTGTCACACACTGGTTTGCTGGGAGGCTACTCGAGGCAGAAGGATGAAGCAGGATCTTCCAAAAATGTACCCTTAACCCATCTCCAACCCTCTCACTCCATCCCGATTCCTGGACTTTCAGGTCTAAATGCATTTAAAGTTCCCTAGACATATTGTACAGCTTCTTCTGGATAGTACAGATAGCGCAACTAAAGATTATATACATACGCCACCTATGGCTTCTTTAAATCTATAAAATTCTCCCCCTGCATATATACTCTCCCATTCTAAACAATACGTCAAAAAGAAAGAGAAAGAGAGAGAGTGCAAGAGAGAGAAATAGTAAAAGTTTACTCAACCCACCACTTAAATACAAATTACAAAAGCATAAAACTTAACGTAGGAAGATTCAGCAGCCATAAAAAAGTAGCCTGCAAGAAATCGGAGGAGGATGGTAACACAGACTTCAAAGGCACTTGGCCAAGTAGAGCCATAAAAATTTATGGAGGATGTAATTATACTGCTCTGCAAACAGGCGATCGTAAATCTCCACGCATGGTTATTTTACAACGGGTGCAATTGGCTTTCTACAAGACTCGGAGGTGCTAGTTACTATAAAGCAAAAGCCACTTTAGTTCACTTACCCGTGCTTACATGGACTTTTTTCATCCAGGGATAAACTACTGGCTCTTTGCAAGAATGAGATGGGCTTTGGTTCAGAGAGTTTTGGCTACACGAGGGTGGAGGGCTGGGGGTGACCGACTCACAGAGATCTGGTTCTGAGAGGTGGCTCTGAAGTCCGGCCGAAGGATGGACGTGACCCCGGGGGGACAGCACCGCTGGCTGTTGGCCGGAGCTCCGACACACCGGGTAGGGCTGCTCGTTGCAAGCTGACCGCGGCTGGTACATCGCCTCATGTTGGAAAGTGCTTTCTCGCCTCTGGCTGCGGTAATATTCCGGAGAGGGATTGGGAAGGTAATCGTTCTGAGAATACTCTTCGCAGGGTGGGAATTTGGGATCCACATAGTTGGAGTTGATCAAAAACGAGCTCATGGCCATTAATTTCTTTGAATTGCACGCGCACACACCCCCAAAAATACTAAAATTTATTCCTCTCCCCCCCTCCTCGTTTTCCTGTTCCCTAAACCCTCCTACATACTGTCAAGTGAACAAAGTTAGGAGTCCATGTGACAGCGGCGGCCAATGGCGGGGAGGCTAGCGATTCCCGGATAAGGAACTATGCTCAGACAGCAGGTCGCTGACGCCTCTTGGATTTTTTTTTTAATCGCCAATATTTACATATTTCCAGCCGGGGTGAAATTTCCTGCCCCTCCACAATATTACTTACCCCGCTTAGCCCATCGCTGTGCTATCCACTTAACCCCCAGTGATAAGCAACCCCACTCCCTTTGGGAGGTGTGTCTTGGCTTCGTTGTGTGTACGGGTGCGGTGCGGGGGGAGGGCGGAATTATGTTCAGTAATTTGAAGGAGGGGGAGAAATCCGCTCCGGATCAAAATGAACGCCCTGGCAGATGATACACTGGGGTCCCTCTGGCTGGTGTTTACATTTCGTTCTTAATGTAGGTGATGTGAAGAGGGTAGAGTAGCGAGTGGACGCGGAGATGCTGGCAGAGATAAATTGGGCTGGTTTTGGATCGATAGAAAATCCATCAGCTAATTCGGGGTACACAGCCTCCTAAATCACATTTAGCTCCGGGAGTCGATTGAGCGTTTGCCAGCCATGGGTGGGAGAGAGTCCTTCCTCCGAACACGAAATAAAGGGCTTTATGGACAATTAAAGATAAAATTAACGAGTCTAAGCGGTCCTCCCTTCTCCTCCGTTGTAATAAACGTGATTACAGAAGCAACACTTGGACGAGTGTTTAAAATCGAAGCACGTAATAATTCCTTCATAAAAATCAGGAAACAGGGCTGGGTTATTTATACCGTGTGTAATTTAAGCAATTATACCGATTAAGGCAACAGTTTTTTGTCCTCCTGAATTTCTGATGCCCATTTGTAGATTAGATTTTTATGACAACGAGGCCATAAAGTTTATCACAGAAGTACGTGATTTGGGAGTTTAGGTAAATACCCAAATATTCCTTTTCGGTTATAAAAAGATCTTCTAGTCAATGCTTCTTTTCATCCTTTTATTTAGTTTTTTTTTCTTCAGGGAGAATGACTGTAGTGTTTGTGTCAACTACATATTCCCCTAGATACGAATTTGTGACACAACTTCCTTTACACAAATTCGGATCTACAGGGTACATATAGAAGACAGATGCATCTTTCTTGGTCAGAAATCTTCTAACTTCACTGATCAGTAACCATTCTCTTCGATTTAATGTAGTATTATTTTTATACCAAAAGCTTTGATGCTAACAGAATTGATCTATGGATAAATAGGGTTAGAACTTTCTCTTTCCAGAGGAAACACACACACACAAATGAAATTCACCCATTCGAAATACAGTGTAGGTGATGGTTAGGCTAGGTAAGTCATGCAGAACTTGCCTACCTCTTCACTGAACATTAGTTTAGAATTATGAGCCAAGAAAATTAGTCCTGAACTATACAAGTTCCAAATTATCAAATTCATTTCGAATTTAAATGTGCTAATTCATCTTCACTCCAAACGTGATGTTTTCAATACCCTTCACTGATCAACAGGGACAAATATTGCAGGATTTTTTAATTTTTATTTTTTTAGTTTCTGTAGGTCATCCAAAGTTTTTTTGTTGCAAACTGGGGGAGGGGGGGAGAGAGAAACAAATGAAAATAAAAGCAGAATGGAAAGGCAGATGGGACATGCTCTTTTTTTTATGTCAGGCAATTCTTTTTATAACCCGAGAAAAAGATCAAAGGAGTTTCATTTCCGATAGCAATAAAATATTCATACTGTCTAGCTAATGAACCTTCATTCGGAACGAATGAGAATAGCATCATGTTGAGACTTCCTTTAAAATTACAGTAACCCCAGAGATTAAAAGTAGACCATTGTCTTCTACCCCTACACTTCCCAGGTTCCTCGCCCCTCCTCAAAAAAAATCAGAAGGGAGCAACACGTTTTTGTTCGAATATCTCCGATTTAATCATATTTAAGCTCCACGCTCACAAACGCTGCCATAAAAACGCTACATTTCCCCCTTCATGGGCTGGAAAAATTGTTTTCCCCCTCCCCTCAAATCGAAGTGTATTTCAAAGATCGCTGATTTTTTTTTAAAGACCTTCCTAGGACACAGGATGAATGAACACCGCTTGTTCGGGACACCTCAAGCGTTAAGACTTTCTAGCTGCTTAAAGGTGAATCGACTGTATCTCTGGTCAGATCGCATATAATCGAGACCACTTCTGAACGAGAACTAGCCAAACGGACGCTTTGCAATCCCCTAACACCCACAAAAAGTTTCTTGCGAATCAAGCAGATCTCAGGGATATTGGGGGGGGGGGGTCGCTTTATCATGCCTTTCCTACACAGCACAAGGAGGTCCAAAAGTCTGCCTAAAGGCACCGACGCCGTGGGAACGGAGAGTGACTCCGAAGTAGACCGCCTTCCAGAACAGCGAGCGCTAAAAATTAGAATCCGAATCAAAGCTTCTCGAACCCCGTAAAGACTGGTGCCGCTACAATCAACCAATTCTCCCCAAAGTCGGAACAGAAGCGACACCAGTAATACCCTAACCAACACCGGTGACTCCTACCCCGTACCAATCAACAACTAGGTGGTAGGGCCTAATCTGGATTCATAACTCCCTCCCTTACAACGCCCTCCCCAAGACATCGCCCTTTTCATTTGTCTTTGCAATAGGGCTGTAGCTGCACCAGCACCTCTAGTGTTTGCCAGACATGGTTTTTTTTCTTCCAGAAGTCTCCCATCGCAGCTTCAGATCTCGAATTAAGAAGAACAAGATAGTGCCCTTCGCTCCCCGTTTTGCCCCCCCATACATACACACACACACACACACACACACACACACACACACAACCTTCACTCCCCCTCTCATCACACACACACACACACACACACACGCACGCACGCAGTTTTTCACACTTTCGATTCCGATCGTAAAAACGTCTCGCGGTTCGGAAGTTTAGAAAGACAAATCTTCCCCCTTTAACATTCTCTCTCTCCATTTCAAAGGGGGCAAACCGCCTCCACCTCCGCTTCTGTCCCTTTCGACTGTCCGCTGTTTATTTAGATTGTACAAGAAAAGGGGAGCCAAAGGGAGAGGGGCTGGCGCTCAGGAGGACGATCAAAAAGGCTCGGAGGGAAGGCGCGTAAAAGGAGAGGGTTGGGGGGCGGGAGGGGGAAAACACCTGCCAGGAGAAAAGCCTTCCACACGCAGCCTTAATCCCCTGTCTCGCAGCCCCTGTTTTGACCCCTTCCGACCTTGCAAAGAAAAGGATCGGCCCCGTTCACTCCCCACTCCCCCCACCCCCCATGCGCCCGGCCTGTCCCCCCTCAATTCCGTCAAAGGCTTCTCTTACCTTTCTTCTTGAGCTATGCCGCGCCCTCCCCCCTCCCCCCATGCGCCCGGCCTGTCCCCCCTCAATTCCGTCAAAGGCTTCTCTTACCTTTCCGTTCTACAGGTGGCGGACATGACCTTTGGAGTCGACCCCTCTTCCTGCCAGTTCCCACTCCCTCTAAGTGCAATGGGGGAGGGGGGGAGCACTGCGTACCTTTAAAAAAAAAAAAAACCCCCCCCCCCCTCCAAACCATCTTCTAGGACTTGAGGTAGCGCCCACACAAGTCGGGAATGGTTTCCGGACATCCCCTCCAAACAAATCCAAGAACCCCAACCCAGAGCCGAGTTGCTCTCTGCGGTCTTCCCCCTAAAGAGGGATTATTTCTCGATAAAAACACCTCTATTCCTCCTCCCCCCCCCCCTCCAGCAAACACCACTATTGTCTTTAAAGGCAAGCAAACCCCGAGCTGTCAAGGAGCTAGCCTCAGGCCTTTCTGAGCATTTTGGGTCGGGAAAGCCGCAAGTTTTCGTATTAATCTCATACTTTGTCAGTCTTTGTTAAACCGCGAGGGCGTGCCCCGAGTCCCGCGAACATTTTAATATTTGTTAGACGCTCTGACCTGAGTTTCACCCCACTCCGGGGGCGCTCCGCTTGCCTGTCTATAATACGCTTGCATAGTTCCCTCGGTCATATTGAATTTTACCCAGGTCATTACTTTGGAGAAAAATGGCCGGGCAGAGGATTTTATTCAGCGCTTTCCTCGATGGCTTGAAATTCCAAGTGATCGGAGAGCGCATCGTTTTGTTTGTAAATTTCCCTTTCATGTTTTGTTTTTAAGGCGTCCTAGTCGTCCAGTAATTAGGAATGCCAACCCTGCTTTCTTTGCCATCGGAAGCATAAACGTTTCGGTTTCTCGTTTGGAGAAGGGACTTCCTCCACATAACACGCAGGTCTGAGAGATGTTTCCATAGGACAGGACTTTTTAGAAAGAGGCAGTTTGATCTAGCTCCCAGTGAAAGAAAAATCATAATAAAAAATCGGGAGAATGGAAGTTTAGATGGAAAACAGCCCACCCCTGTTTTTCCCCTATAAGCAAACGACTCGTAGAAGATTTTTATCGTCTGTTTCTGAGCGATTGTGCGTATCATTTTATTTATTTTTAAAAAAGCTTTACGAAAATTTAAAAAATCTAGATTTTAAAGGAACTGTGACATTTTCTCCGTCCCTTAAGTACCCAAATGGAAGTGATAGGTCTAAGAGGATAAAGGTTAATACTATCTAGGATATTTGAGTCATATAGGCTACATAAAGTTTTTTAACACAGCCTACTGGGAATTTACCGTATCTATCTATCTATCTATCTATCTATCTATCTATCTATCTATCTATCTATCTATCTATCTATCTATCTATCTATCTATCATTAGTACAATCTCACACACACAGAGGCACAGTCTAACGGTAGCATCGTGTATGTTCAAACCATTTGAAAAGTAAATGGAGTTTTTAAATCTATTGTCTGTGTAGAATCACCTTCTTTAAGTTTATTTCGACAGCTGGTATGATACAACCAAATTCACGCACTCAGGCACGAGGCAAAGAGGAAAACAAGGGAGATGCACTAGAAATGTCCTGGCAGATAATGTCTTCCTTTCCTTTCCTTGATTCTGGTTTGGTTCAGAAATTTGCATTCCTAAACTGAAAGTTAAACATTAGGATGCAGGCGTGAATTTCATAAGAACGTTAATAACAATAATGATAATAATAATTTATTATTATTATTATTATTATTATTATTATTATTATTATTATTATTATTATTATTATTATTATTATTATTATTATTATTATTATTACCACCTTGGAATGATACCTGTTTCTTTTAATTTCCCGAAAACAAATGGCGGTTGTTATTCATTACCTGCTATATAAACCTACAGTTGAAAAGACTGTTCTACAGCGATAAGTGTAGTAATTACAAGAGTGGACAGATGAATGGCCCAAGTTAGAACTAAACGGTAGCTCTTGTATAGTGATATTTTATAAATACCAAGCAAATTCATCGTAATTAATTAAATCCCCGTCTTATCACGCGAAACAAAACGCTTTGCGTTCTCTCAAATTTCACCCTCTGCATGAACATTTCCAAATCGGCAAAGCAAATGGGTTATCCAAGGGTGCCTTTCCCAGGACTCTAACACACACACACACGCTCTCTCTCTGTCTCTCTTTTCCAAGAAAAATGATGTTTGTTATAAGGATTTAGTCACTGCAGATATTTAAAAGGCGAGAACAAAAGCAAATTTGCTGTTTTTAAGAGTCCGCATAGCTTCCAATATTTGCTTTAGACGCTATTGAAAAGTAGCTTTCTGCACAGCCCCCGCCCCAACAAGTCTCGATAAAAATAATATTTGACGTTTAAGGATGCAAAGTACAGCAGCGAAGGTTGAAACAACTGTGAATCGCCAAGGGAAATATTTATTATAGTAGTTCATTAAACTGTTGCAACTGGACAGAATGGATTCTCATTGCTAGCAATAAATGTACCACATTTAATTCGAATTCAGAGGCAAAGTACAGAGAAGAGCAAAACTAGATATTTAAATTGAACCAAAGGAGGGGGGGGGGGAGAGAGCCTAATTTTCGTGCATTTAAGATTTTGTTAACGATCGCCCTACTTGCTGTGTCTAACAAGCGGCATTGTGGATTATATAAAGATAATCCCTCATTTATTCTAGTTTATTTTATCTTTTAGTATTTGTTTTTATGATTTCACACACACACACACACACACACACACACACAGATATAGTGCAAGAACATTCAATTGGAGGGTGAAAATGATTACCAAGACTGTAGAATGAACCTTTGTATATATTTGTTTCTATATCATCTATATGACAAGAGAATGAAGGTTCATAATATATAAGAGAATGTTCATTCTACAGCTATATATATCTATATATTTATAACAGCTCGTGTTAATATCCTATAGGGACTTCCATGTAATTGGTTGTAATAAATGTATTTCGCCCCTGTATTCTGTTAATTAGATTTTATACGGTGTTTCAAATATTATCATTTTTTAAAAGTATTTAGAAGTCTCATTAATCCACCTTATTTTCTACCGGCGTCGCGTTCTGACTCGCCAAATTCCCTTCCCCACAGCCTGTCTGGAATGGCAGCATGTCTTCCTTCTATCTCTTACCTCGCTATCATTTTCTCTCATCTCTGCCCGTAAGAAAAGGATCCTTCCTCTCTCCACCCCGGCCCCTTCCCCAAACCACCACCCTTTTTTTTTAAACACTGACATCCAGTCTATCAGGCTATACACAAGACTGAGTCACGCACAGCGTAAACTTTTGACCCTCAACTTTTTGACCCCTTGAGCTATAATGCTGTACTAACAAGCCCCCCAAAGACCATAGCCACCTTCTACGTCGCCAGACAGTAAAGCTGCACAGATTCCCTGTTTTTTAAACCCTCTTAACATTTGTGGGTTCCTTCTTTGTCAAGGGGGGGGGATAACATTTCCTGGCTTTGCAAACATTGTGTGTGGTTTTCCATATCAAGCCATCAGGTTCATAGACTGTCGGATTTTTTCCCCCTTTTACACTTTTCTTTTAGCTCTGTGTGTTTAGAAGAACAGGAGAGAGAAAAGTCCCTTAAACCACAGCCGGATTCATCTCATTTTTTACATTATTTCTGTTTTATTTGCCTAATGGGATGTCAAATAGGTGAGTTGTTGACTAGGTGAGTTGTTGGCGGCAGTAATTAGCCTGGTCTAATTTTTTTTCCGCGCTGGAGGGCTGGGTGATTAGAGGAGATTTTGGTTATCTGTGGGGGACTGAAGGTCTGAGAGACCTTAAACCACAGCCGGATTCATCTCATTTTTTACATTATTTCTGTTTTATTTGCCTAATGGGATGTCAAATAGGTGAGTTGTTGACTAGGTGAGTTGTTGGCGGCAGTAATTAGCCTGGTCTAATTTTTTTTCCGCGCTGGAGGGCTGGGTGATTAGAGGAGATTTTGGTTATCTGTGGGGGACTGAAGGTCTGAGAGATAAGTTTGTGTGGGGTGACGGGAATATATCTTTTGCGACACAAAAAGAACCGACAGAAACCATAGCGGGCAACTCGTGACTGTGAACTTGGTCTGAAGCGAGCTCTGGTGGTTACTGGAGGACGTTACAGGCTCCAAGATTTCCCCCAAATAATCAGTTCCCCACCGAACTATACTGGCTCTAACCCTTTTTTAAAAAAATAAATATTTTTAAAATTAATTTGCCACTCTGTGAACTACATCTCCCCCCCTTTTAAAAACAACACAACACAAAAAGCTGCCATGGATTTGGTCGTGAAGGGCTAATATGTGTATGGCTCTCTGTGGGGTGTGTGTGAAAACAGACATACATCAAAGGGGAGGGAGAGAGGAAACAAAACTCAAACTCTTCCAACGCTTCCTGTCAAAATAGTTTCTTTTTAAAGCTAGTCAGGCTAAGGGAACGTGGAAAACCTGCACAGACACCTCTAGAATGAAAGTCCTCGGTGCCCTCTTTAAACTGCCATTTATTTCACAGGGTGGAAGAAAAGATGGTAGAAAGTCAGTCGGGTATTGGATAGAAATCATCACAACTGCCCGGTGTTCTTAAAAAAAGGTGTATTCTCCCCTTAAAGCCCTGACTTGGCAGAGATCCCAGAGGAAGAGACAAGAAATCGCTTCAACCGTTTTTGGATTTCCAAATTGTGGAGCGATCTTGAATTTTAAATAATCAGGTAACTGTACTCCCCTCGGATAATAATAATCATAATTTAATTTGTAAATGGTGAAAAAACACTAGAATTTCTCTGACCTTGAAATTCGATGGTTACATTGCCTGGGGAGAGGGTTAGTTTCCCGTGTTTCACAAGACTACTACAAACAAATACATATTTTTATTTAAAAAAAACAGTGAATTTTAGCAACACATTCCTCTCCTCCTCTAGATTCCCAGATAGATAGAAAATAACAGACTCTCAATCGTTATTTTTCTTTTCTTTTTTTTAAAGAGAGAGGGAGAACGAGGGAAAATGTAGGATGGCGAGTTGCAAAACGAACAGCTCCATTTGCCAAAAATGTATTTGTCCCGTTGGCTATTATTGTTCTTGCTAGATTAGGGCAATATGATCATATCTAATTTGATGGCTCTTTCCAAAACCCTTTTTAGGTATTAACAACCAATACATTTGATCAGTGAGTTGTTGTCGGACTTCTCCGCTTCCCCCCCCCCCCGCCTTTTTTTAAAGCAGTTTATTTTGTTCTTTAAAAAGGTGACCCGCAGACCCCAGTGGACGTGGGAGATGTAACTATTGTATGTTGATGGGGTGTCTTAGTTCTCCAATCTAGGCGCTGCTCTGACTAGTCTGTTGACCTCGGAATGATCCCGGGTGGCTATGAATTATTGATGAGATATGAGCTCTGATTTCTCTTTTCAGTATGCAAACCCCATTATACTGTTAAAATGGCGATTTAATCGTTTAGAATAGCTTTGCTTTTTTTCCCAACTCATTTGTGCCCCCTTCCTTTTCATTTCATCCTCGTAATTAAATCCTTTACCAGATTTTAATCACTTTTTTGGATTGAATAAAATAAGCTCTCATCCCAATCCGTAACTAGGTTACCTTGGGTAAGTTTTATTTTTGTTTCTAAGTTTATTTTTTTTTGTTTTTTTAAAGAGTGTAATACAATTATTTCATCCTTATTATTTTCCGTTTTATACCCAAATAAAAAACGCCTGCAGGGAAGGGTTAAAAAAAGCCATGCCACACGCTTAGTGTAGAGTTTGCTTGGTTTTTTTCTAAAGCAATCAAACCTCCTATGCTATGATCCTATGTAGTCTGGAAGGACACAGTGATACTGAATTGTCTTTGTGTTTGAACGGTTTCTCTTGCCATATCTATCTACACATCTAATGAGTGCTGTTTCTGCCAGGGTTTTCTACTTATTGCTTCACCAAAGCCATAAGGTTAGCAGGATATTTTAGTATTGAATTTTTACTTTGCTGTCTATTTTTTTCCCCTCTCTCGCACGTCTCTTTGAAATAGCTGATTGATCTGCTGAGTGGATATAGCAGATACTTTCTGAGATAAGAGTTGTCTGTCTGCTGTCTATGTTGTTTATGCAGAGAATGTAGACACACAGAATTCTGAGCATCCCTTCTATGTTCAAAAAGCCACTTTTGACAGGAGGGGCATGGGGGCAGCTATGTTAATTAATCTCTATGCTCAACATTGCCCTCCCGGACGATGAAGACTGGCATAGATCTATTCTCAGGCACTGAGCCCATCTGCGATATATGAGGACTGGTGTGGGGTTTTTTTAATTTTCAAGAGCACGAAACACTTTTACTTTGTCTCCCAAACTAGGCGGAGATCCTTCAAGAGTGGAAATAAATTCTAAAACTGCCCATCCAAAGAACACAGTGTGTAGACCCATGTGCCCATTGTTAATTCTCATAACATTTGCAGGGAGTGTGGCAAATTAGTGGACTCCTTACAGGCCCAACTGTCCACTTCGGTGGGCTTTGGGTCTGGTGCTTATGTTGGACAAACAGCCAAATATTTATTTCCTGGCAAGCATAAATAAGAGATGTTTAAATATATATATATAGAGAGAGATGTTATATATATAAAATATATATATATGGGCTGTTTTCTTTTTAATTCAGTGATCATTTCCATCATACAGAGAGAGAGCGCGATAAAATCTCATATTTATTCTATCTTCTACAGCTGCTGAAGGACTAATTGTTCCACAGTCTGAGGTAGACCATTTTAAATGGAGGGAAAGGATGAAAAATCCAATGGGAATCCTCGCCCATATTAACGGTCAGAGCTCTCCTTTCCTGTTTCCTCTCCTTATCCTTCCTCAGTCCACCAGCAAAGGGAGGTGGATTTTTTTAAGGACGTAGGAAAGGGAGAAAGATTCTGAGCCTGTGACTCCTTCCTTGCTATACAGTGGGACACACAGTTGTACTCCACTCTACAGCCAGACAGGAAGCTGGGGGGGGGGGGGGAAGAGACAAACACTGTGCAAACAAACCAGCCTGTAAGCGCCAGAGAAAGCCAGATAGGTAAAAAGCAGGAGCTTTGAAAGTGCAGAAGAAGGGTAGATGCTTTTAATATGGCAGGAATATAATTTCTAAAGCATGCTGAGATCGTATAACAAGGCCCCGTCCCATTCCTATTTCAAACTTCTGCACAAGCTAGAGTTTTCTTAAATAAATGGGGGTTACCTGCAACTGTAGCAAAGACTGAGAGGGATAGAAATGGGACAGTGGTTTCCTTGTGCTTTAACCTTTGCTAAATACAATCCTTAATATCACCACAGTGACACGAAAGATGATGCAGAAAGAATAGACCGACTTGAGCTCAGTCCGCATTTGGGAAGATGGAATTTCTATATGCCCTATCTGTCTTAGGTTGTTCTTTCCATTCCATTAACATGTTGCATATTCCATGTAATTAAAAATGGTGGTATTTTACGTTGATCTATTGTATGCTTTGGGTCATTAGACCTGATTGTAAAGGAAAGTTTGACTGGGATAATATACAAGTACTGAAACCCTTTTCTATTTTGAATCAAATTTAGAGAGAGAGAGAGACAGACAGACAGAGAGCGACAGAGAGAGATTTTCGACTAAAGTCAAATATGTATTATATATGTGTGTGTGTGTGTGTGTGTGTGTGTGTGTGTGTGTGTGTGTGTGTTCAGATATAGGTATAGATATACTATAATATATATGGTTTTTATTAATGTCAAATATATTACATATATCTTATATCTCTCTTTCTCTTTACCCTGCAATTACGTTGTCATTGTCAAATATCTATTTCCTTGCAATTACCTTGTCATTCAGGTACTTTAATCACCTAGGTTGTTGTTAACAATTTGTATCAGTCAGCGTTATTTCTTCACATCAGTACAAAGCAGAGAGCCACAGAATGTCCGGGTCAGTAACTTAGTACCACCCCATCACACCTACACCCTATTTACCTTCAGTAAATATTTCTCTTGCTGCTAGGCAAGATTTTGGGGATCTGTGGGGGTTTTGGCTGCAAAATTCACACTTTAACCCCAGTCCATTCAAGGGCCCAGAACAGATAATGCCTTTATTATGAACAGATAAAGAGGCACAGGACTCAGTCAGATAATCAGATTGGGATGTTGAAATTAAAGTGACTCAACTAATTATCTCTGTCCCGGCCCCAATCCCTCCAAATCTCCCAGGCCAGGATTTTGAGTTTGTACTTGTGTATTTTTAACATAAGAGCAGCGCTCCAGCAAAACTCCTCTCAGACTGTAAGTTGGGAGTTTTAGGACCGCCAGCCAACTAGGACAAATAGAATGCAGAAGCTGAAATTGTGACAATAAAAACAGCAAACACCTGGACCAGCACAGGAAAAACAACCCAAGGAGTGAAAAACTATCCGCAAACTGCTCAAAATGGTGGCGTTCTTTTGCTCTGTGTGAAAGAGACGGACATGTGTCCACCAAATGTTGCTCTACCATTTAAAAAAAACCTCCCTGCTTAAGAGGAAAAAAAGAACATTAGTGGCTGCTGCAGCATTCTGGGACGTAAGAGGGGGAAAATCTCTCCTCAGCCTATTTTCTTTTAACTTTTTGAAGATACACAAACGGAATTGCAGCTGAGAGTGGGCAGACATAAATGCAGATTTCAACACCTAGAGTTTAAAAATAAAATAAAATAAATTCAGTCCATTTGTTTGTGCTGGAAAAATCAGTCTCACTGAGGGGGAAAAAACTTTAGATAAAAATAATTTCAAGCTATGTTGAGCCAGGGTTGGTGTAGTCGAACAGAGAGTGTTTCATATTAAGATACCTGAACGCCACTTTATGGCAGGAGTTTTGGGCTGTTACCTTACAAACATAAAGGAAAATAGACATCTCATCAGGACTTTGCCACCGCTGGCTGATGGACCAGCAAGGGTAAATACTCGCTGCATCTCGATTACTTGCCCTTCTCTGATAACTTGTTTATTTTCTCAAAGAAAAAGCTGTTTTAATGAGTTTTTCAGAACTGTCTCCTCTTTATAAAAGTAGAAGCAATACCTTTGGACTAAGTATATTCGACATATATAGGGTTTAAAGTTCATCGAATCCATGCCCATTTTGCAAACAGCAGCACGTTTGATTTTTTTTTTAAATATTTGTAGTCACTTTAGAGGCAAGCTGAAGAAAGACATAACGGCAGTAATCCCGTGTCCACATATTGTACAAACAAACCAGGGAACTATTAGGATTTTGTCTACGGAAAGAAAAAAAGCCTAGCATGAATATTTTGGTCTATACCCCGGCCATGGAAAAGGCTAAAAATGTTCCGGATGAAAAAAAAAGAATTAAAATTCTTAAAGGGTGTGAGCGAAACCAAGAATATAAACATACAAAAGGCGCCTTGAAATGCCAAGGTTTGGGCCATATTTGCTCGTGACTGTGCTCAGTATAAAACTCCCCAAAGCGCCTCCAGTCTCTATTGACAGGGCTAAGAATAAAACAAAGTTTGTCTGAAGTACATATGCCCCCAGGCAAAGATTGGATGGCGTTCGCGATGCAGCCGTAATTAATCTTGGCGGAATTCTATTTCCCCCTCGTTCCACAAAGTTTACGTTGTTTGCATATGGGCCTCAACCCTAATGAAACATCACATCTCGGGAGTGTAAGAATTTGGACCTTTTAAAAATGGGAAATCAAGCTTAGGAAAGAATGAGAGAGAGAGAGAGAGAGAGAGAGAGAGAAGTCCTCCCCCACCCACCTCATCCTTTAGCAAATACAACCCTTAAAAGAGTTTAATCAGATAATATTTCAGGACTTACTTTCAGGAGCCCGAGCACTCTGGACCAGCAAAGCATGATAGCAGCAAATGCAAAGGTTTATCTCATCTGGAAAAGTGTTCACCCATTTCTGCCCCTTACAAGCCAAACCAAGCAGTTAAAGTGTCACTTAACATTCTAGAGAATGTGAAATATATTGTACATTGTCAACTCCCCAAAACCATAAAACTAACTTTATGGACCTCACGTGACTTTTGAGAGCCAGTGAGGGGTATCTGTCTGAGGTCTGGGCGATTTTTACGATCTAACTTCTAGATAAAACCCTATCCATTTGACATCTAAATGTCATACCTACTTTTGGTATAGTTTGCTATTGGTAAATATGTATGCCTAGAGATCTAGTTATAGATCAAGGGAAGGCGAGCAAATGGTCCTGGATCTGATAGTCCACCTCACAGTCTTCTCAAAATCATTTAAGAAGTACCTAAACAGTGGGGAATTAAGTTTGGTAAGTTTATAAGATCCAACTTTACTTAATACGAGCAGAAACCTGGACTAGCTAGTAAAGATGTCAATAGCGTTTTGTCAACAGATAGCAAAACTGAAATGTTTACCACCTTTGATTAAGTTAAATTATATGCGGCGCAAATGACTCTTTGTGGTGAGTTTCAGTAGTTAACAGAACTGTTATTTACGTGTCGAGCCAGCGACTAGGATATAAAAACAATATGCACATGGATGGAGATGGAACGGGTGGGGGAGACCAGAGATTATGCAGCAGCGATACTGCACAGATATAAACAGCTAGATCGCTTTATTTTTTTAAACCCTAATATATGCCAGATCTTGAAATGCACATACATATATTTTGCAGAGCATTTGTATCTTCTTGTTGTAACTTAGGCTGCTTGCCAACACTGCGTTTTAGCTGATATTTGGGTTCTTTTTGGAGGGCGAAACAAAGTTTGGAAACTATATAACAGGTTGCATTTCTTCTATAGACTGCGTTTGCTTTCCTCCTCCACCTAAGTCTCTGTTACGTGAAGTTTGCATTTTTGGCTTCGGAGAGGTTTCCAAAGGGATATGCAGGGAAGAGAACAGTTTGTAGCGTTGGTTAAATGCTCCGAGCTCAGTACAAGCGATACGCCAGTCCTGGTACCTATTTGTGTTTAGAAGATATTGCGAACTCTCCGCGTTGTGTAGAAAATACGAAGGGGAGTCTTTGTGAATAGGAGAAATGTTTATTTGACTTGAAGTGACGCTACAAACAAATACAAAAAGCATATTGGCAAAATACTAACAGGCAGCTAGCCATTTTACACCTACCACTGCATTCACTCTGCCCACTACAAACTGTCTATTAGTCACATCAGAAATAGTCCTACTATTTACAGACATCGGCACACGCTATGGTTGGTCCAATTTTATACATGTTTAATAGTGAAGTTTACCCACGTCTAAGAACACGTCTCAGAAATAGCTTGGGACAAGACAGCAAGGCGTGAAGTTGGAACTAAATCACAGATTCGACAATTTTAAGACAAAAAGATACAAGAGCTTTTTTTGCTTTTTTTCTTTTTATTTTTTCTTTACAGTTTTTTGCTTGTTTTTTTATTATTTTTTTTCTGCTGTTTTAGTGCAGGAATCCCGACTTTTAGCTTAGGCAGAGAAAAAAATCCCCCCTCCCTCACAAGAGCTGTAAACTCAGGGGAAAAAAATAACCTAAACAAACCACCGTCTGTTATCAATTTTATAAATAAGTTAGAACATCTAAAGGGCTCACATAAAACATGCTAGCTTTCCAGAAAGCATCAAAATAGCACGGGCACAAACATTTATAAGAACATCAAGAGCGTGGAGGGGCATCTAAATTTTTTAAAAAATAATAATAATTATAAAATAAAATTAAAACAAAAATTAAAAAAAACACGACAGGAACGCAGTCCTGGGATAACAGTACCTTAGGAGTTGTTTAAAATATCAACAACATGCCGGAAAAAGTGCCTTACTGTACAGTACTCAGAAACTAAGATATGCGTTTGCTTACCCCTCCCTCCCTCCCCCCCTTTTCTTCTCCTTCTTCTTTCTTTCCATGATATTCCTTTTCTATAATTCATGGCTGAAAGGCGCTGCCCGCGGAGACCACGCTCATGCTTTTCAGTTTATTATCTTTCTTCCACTTCATTCTTCTGTTTTGGAACCAGATTTTAATTTGCCTTTCGGACAGGCAGAGGGCATGGGCGATTTCTATTCTCCTCCTCCGGGTGAGGTATCTATTGAAGTGGAATTCCTTTTCCAATTCTAGGGTCTGGTAGCGAGTATACGCGGTTCTTGCTCTTTTACCGTCTGGTCCAGTCATGTCTGAATGATACGGACAACATTGGGTTTGGGTTTGGTTTTTTTTTGTTAGATCAAAAGGCAAATTATTCCCCTCCCAGGACAATCATGAATGTGCACTTGGTTATTTCAAAATAGCCTCCCCTCCCCCACGTGTAGACACCCTCCCCCCAATCTCCCAGTTCCGGCATATACAATTCAATATTCACGATTTAACTGCACCCTAAAACTCTTATCATTTTACCTACTGTGTGTGCGTGTGTTTGTATTTGCAAAATATTTGCAAACCGCTGTTCCTGGTGCAGTGTGCTCGTGGGTTTTATTTTGTAATTAGCAGATTGTCAAGAATACACACACCCAAAATAATAAAGGACCGGGAGCCCCATCTGTCCAGATAAAGCCCGTTTTACTTCTCCCCTCTCCTTTTCTCTCCCCTCCGCCCCCCACCTTTCCTCCCCCATCCGCAAATCTCCCCGCAGTTTTGAATGACCTTTTCTCTCTATACATATATGTATATATATTAAATAACCTCACATTTCGCGGCAGGGTTACAAAGACGTGGCACGGAAGGCAGTTTTCGGCTTAAAAGCACCGATCAGATAAATAAATACGAGGAGAGAAAGAGCTGGATTTCTTAATCAGGCGCCTCCTCCGCTCTTCAAATAAAACCGGGGAAAGAAGGAAGAAAGGGGAAGGGGGAAAAAAAGCAGAAGGGGGAAAAGGGAGGGGAGGAATAAAAAGTAGCTGTACCATGGCTAATGTGAAGCTTCCTCATCCAAGGGAATATTTGTGGTGTCTGCCCTTCTGTTGGTCCTGTGGATGTAGCCACGGGCTCTGTCTGCGCCCTGGAAATATTGTTGCTGTTTATTTGGGTGCCCTCTTCGGTCCCCGAAGACGCGCTGGTCTCGTCTATTTCTGTGAAATTTGTGTTGGTGCCGGCAGAAGGAGCCGGGTCGGAGGGGGACGGGGCGGGTTTGCCTCCATGGCTGTCGCTGTTGGAGCAGGGAAGGGACTCGGGAGAGGACAAGGAGCAGCTAGACGCCTGTCTAAACCTGCTCTCCTGCGCTGGCGGTGAAGAGAAGCTGCGGGAGCTGTCTCCCACCGCCCCAAAGTGGCTAGAGGAGGCCGAGCGGTTGATGCTAAGGTCCATCCCATTGTAGTTGTAGGCATAGGAGCTGGAATGCATGGTGCCTGAATCTCTGTACGACCCGTTCATAGCACTGCTAGTCCCATAATTTAGCAACTGATACTCGGGGCCATTTGGATAGCGCCCTGAGAACGAGTTTACAAAGTAAGAGCTCATTTGGGTTATTTTGGAGGGCTTGATTTGTGGCTCGTGGTCGTTATAACCCGGTGCTTGACGATTTATGATGTATTAATGAATTATAGCAATGCACTGTACTTCGTTTTTGCTATGTATGCGGCCAAATATGGGGGGGGTGGGGGTGCGTTTGGAAATCACGTGCTTTTGTTGACCAGTCGTAAATTCTCACTGATGACCTCAAGAGGTAATTCATGCTCTATGGTTACAAATAATGACGATCTGAGAATCGTTAAGGCCCAAGTCAATGCAAGCCTGGAAAAAAAAAATTCAGAAGACAGAGATTTTTTTCCACGTTGGCGGAATGCGCCACCTACTGGGCGCAGGGTGACTCAGCAGGCGTGCAGGGTGACTACCCACCTTTTAATGTATTTTTAAAGTAATTTCGCAGCAATTTGCACTCTTCGTGTTTTTATTCTTTTGTTAAAAAGCACACACACAGAAATGCCCCCTCATCCATGTTCATCCCGAGCATCTGCTGTCATGGTTTTTTAATTTTTTTATTTAATTTTGCAAGTGGAGGGAAAAAATGTTGATCAGATCCAACTCGGGGATTATTGTCAACAATCAGTTTTACTCCTGTGATCTTTGTATGGGGGTGGTGACCGTTTTTAAATGATCCGTCTTTTATAATAATGACATTTGTGGTGGGGAGTGGGCGGACAAGTCACCTTTGGAACTGGCGCTTCTCTGTTTGAATACCTTGGGAAAATAACGGAGCCTGCTGAAAGAAGAAGAAAAAAGCATGTGCGCTTTATTTATTTAATTTATTTATTTTAATTGGCACAATGAAAGTTTGGCTTTCTCCACCTTCTCATCATATTATCAAGTGCACAGTAACACCTTGTAATTCTGGAGGGAAGCGACAGGAAGAGAGATCAGCCGTTGAAACTCGGTGACAATGTTGCTTTTAAGATATTCTTGGACTTAGCCTCCCTCTCGCACACCCCCCTTTCAATACAACATAATTCTATTTCCCCTCATCGCAAACCTGCAAGAAATATTAGGTAGCAAGGAAAACCTGAAACTTGACCGGGCGGTGCTTTTTGTTCAACGCTGCTGGGGTTTTTTTTCCAGGCAGTTTAGGAATTTCAAATGCTTGTCTGCAACTCATTGGAAATTATGCGCCATATTGAAAGTGACATATAATTATAATAATTACGGGCAATGAAAAGAGTGGCAATAATAGTAAATGTCCTACAGCTGTGCCGCTTCTGCATGAATTGATTTTAAAAGTGACTGGCATTAAAACAGCTTGTGACATGAGGGAATGCATTAATACATAGGTATTTTTTGGGGGGGGAGGAATAGTTCTTTTGAAAAAGCATTTTTTTCTCTCGCGTGAAGCCTCCTCCATGTGATTAGAATTGAGCTGAGCAATGGCTTTGTTTTAAATCTGCTCACCCCAAGGAGAAACACCACTTCTTTTCGTTCATTGTGCATTTTGAAAAAGCCAAGAAAAGTTTACTCCATGGCCTCTCCAAGACCTCTTCGGTCTTGAGCGCAGAGAGCAGCTTTTCTCAAACTCCAAGGCACAATGACATTGCCAGGAGAGCCAGCTGAAAGAGGTGTGTGTACGTCCATTTAGAAAACACCCTCACTGATTTTATTTTTTTTATGCTTAAATAATGCTCACCGTCTTGGAGTGGAAAAAAAGTTTCAACTAAAAAATAAATAGGAAAAGCCTGGAACCTCGCTTTGTTTACACTGCCCATCTCTCTGATTTTGGAAAGTGAAATAAGGGGCCAGATGTTTGAAAGATGCTCGACAAACATTATGTATCTTCGGTCGAGAGGTGGGAGCAGAATTTTGCCTCTTCCTTTGATTTATTATGTATATGGAACGCTTTCCCTCATAACTCTAGTTACTGTAACAATAAAAAAGCCATCTTAAAGCACAGTGTCAGCTCGGAGATATGGTTGGTGAAAGGTCCCGCATTTCAGATTAGGCAAAAAGAGGGAAAAGCAGATTTATCTCTCAACTGTAACGTCCGTATGCCGCCAGTTGCTTGTCCTAGCTGATTAGAAGTGTCACACGCGGGTAACACCAGAGCCTGCCTCGCTAGCAACCATTCAGCTGCACAGGAATGGCACATTTTCATAGCTAGGGCTAATAATACTGTTAATGACACCAACGGGCTGAGCAGGGGTGCGAATACTTTGCTTTTATTAGAGTACTCCAGGTCCATACCTAAGACAAACTACAAACACGACACGTACAAAAATTAATAAAATAGAATATTTCTTGTTGTTGCTTTTGCATCTTTGTAGGTAGTACTTGTTCCTTCAGTAGGTTTTCCTCTTAAAAATGAAACTAATTACGAAGACCCCAGGGTTTGATTAATTTACCAAAAGGAAAAAGCAACCAGGGGTGGGGGAATCTATAAGTCAATCGTGCATGAAACATTTTACAAAATTAAGACAATAAACACCAAAAATGACACATATTGCAGCACCTCCATTAAATACAAGAGTTAGCAGGTTACTAACAGTGACACCAAGGGGAGAAACACAGGTAAGAGTTCCAAATTATTATTATTTTATATTATATTATATTTGGAGGAATAGAACGAAAAAAAACCCTCAACTAGAAGCCTGGTTTTATTTTTATGACACGACAGATTAACTGATCACGAGTCCATCGGTGCAAAGTGATGTCGGTGGCAGGCCACCTTCAAACTGTCTCGGGTATTTTACAAAGCGTGCACCACGTCGGGGTGCGTTTTTAATGCCACTCCAACCCGTTCCCCCCCACCTTCTCCCTCCTCTAAGTGTGGGTACATTCGCTCTTTCTCTTAAATATTTTTTTTCACTCCGCGGCTTTCTCTTCCTCCTCCTCCGCGCTCAGCTGCGTGGAGTTGAGCAGTTTGTTTTCCTTTTTCCATTTCATCCTCCGGTTTTGGAACCAGATTTTGATCTGTCGTTCTGTGAGGCAAAGTGCGTGTGCTATTTCGATTCGCCGACGCCTGGTCAAGTAGCGATTAAAGTGGAATTCTTTCTCCAGCTCCAGCGTTTGGTAGCGGGTGTAGGTTTGCCGGCCTCTTCTGCCACTTGGCCCGAAAGATGAACCTGTTAGGCAAGGAAGGGGGGAAGGAGAGGATACCCAAAGGTTTATTCGAGTTCAGATCATAATGCCATTTGGGCCGGACACTTAGAACTCTGCAGAGTTTCTGTTTAGGGGCGGTGGAGTCTGTCGCTCTGCCTTTGCTTTCCGCTTTACCTCCTTGCACCAACCCAAAGTCATCTAGGCAAAGTGCCCCGGGCTCCTTCTTTTGCAAAGCCAGCCCCGTAGCAAACCCCCTGAGTTCGCCTTGCAATGGGCATTGCTCCCTTTGCTGTCTGCTGCTTCTCCTGCATAGCTCGAAGGCATGAAAAGTTCTGCCAGTACCAGCCATTTGAGTGCCGGGCTTGGAAGACCCTGCTCGGTCTGTCTTATTCCATTATGTAAAATCTCAAGGTGTCTCTCCCCTCTACCCCCACACACCTTTGTGTTTTTCCTCCCTACCGGCAGCAGTAATAGATCTGGGCATTTAAGCAATAATGAAGTATATCGATCTAGACAAACTCTGTGCATTAAAGGGGATCCAAGACTCGATGTCCTCACACTAATGGACATCAATTTGGAACTTAAAAGGCAACAAATAATGAATGTAAACATGGGAGGACTGTTACTTTATTTTTGGATTGAAGAGATAGGGGGGGGGGGGGGGGGGAGGGAGCATTCTCCCATGGCAGACTTTTCATTACGCGTTGAGTTTCATTAAAACTGTAGTTCTCTCTTTTCAAATATTTAAGCCCTTTTACATTATTTAATTCCAGCGAGGGGAGGGTGTGTGTGTGTGTGTGCGCGCGCGTGAGTGAGTGTGTTGGTGTGTGTGTGTGTGTGTAGCCATACTGTTGTCATTGCGAATAGAAATCTCTCTTGTATGTGCAGAAGACACCGAGTTAGATAAATCATTGGAAAGAAGTGACATACGGATTACAGCGTGCAAAAAAGAAAGAAGATACGGGCTTGTCTAAGTATGGCACAAACTTTTTTGTGTGTGTCTTTAAAAAAAAAAGAGGATCTGGTGAAAGAACCGGGCGAGAGAGCAAGACTGCCATAAAGTTTTGGGTTGTGTCAAGCATAACTTCGAGTCCCGTCCATTGCTGGAAGTTGGGAAAGAAGTGACATACGGATTACAGCGTGCAAAAAAGAAAGAAGATACGGGCTTGTCTAAGTATGGCACAAACTTTTTTGTGTGTGTCTTTAAAAAAAAAAGAGGATCTGGTGAAAGAACCGGGCGAGAGAGCAAGACTGCCATAAAGTTTTGGGTTGTGTCAAGCATAACTTCGAGTCCCGTCCATTGCTGGAAGTTGGATCTGCGCTAAATTTCCTGTTTTCCTTTTGCAAATAAGAAGAGGCGGGAGGGGGCAAGGCGGCGGGGGTG